TCGGGAAAAGCAATAAAACATCTGTTCTGAAGCCTAGGCTCAATGAGATTACGGTGGATAGATGATGAATTCAAACTTAAAGCATTAATGGTCTGCTTCTATTATTGGGTACGCTATGGTCACAAGCTCATATTGATCCGAAATGTATATTTATCATTGTATGGTTACGGTAAATGAACAATTTTTCACAGTTAAATAAATCTGTGAATTTATCCCTTATTTTCTACCTGTCGCAATGCTATTTAAGTTTCTATTGTAAAAAAGCATGGCTGTAACGAGCGTTTCAGATGATCTTACTAGGAAATAATTTACGGCCCTTGAAATTTTGGGACTCCAGGAAGAGGTGGTGTAGAAGTAGCTTTTGCCATCTGACATTCCGTTTAGCGATTTCTAACCAGATACAATCAAACTGACTTACTCTGATTGCGAAATTGCAGTCTATCTTACGAAGCGGATTTTTTGTCAAAAGATTTGTAGATATGCCGAAACCAATATTTGGGTTTTTGTTTTGAATCTAAACAAACTGCATGACTTATTTGTGGACTCAGTGGAGCGCTTTTTATAAAATTTGCACAAGCTTCCGCGGGTATTATAGTTTACACTGTCTTCTTCAGTATCTTCACTATTGGCGATTACCGCTCTCTCATAAGAGCTGTAGTACCTTTGTTCAAACTTTGCATTTCAGGTGCGATTACGGCCGGTGCCAGGCTCATTTGCGGCGGCTCTGCAGTACAAGTCCCCGGCCTTGAAAATGGCTTCTATCTTTCCCCATGTGTTCTCACGGAAATCCGCAAGGACATGGCTGTCTACAAGTATGGCTGCGTTTTAAAGCTGTGGCAGCAATCACTAATTGTTTTTTTAGTGAGGAGATATTCGGTGCTGTGCTTCTTGTAATTCCCTTTGATACAGAAGATGAGGCTATAGACATTGCTAATGATACTACGATGGGTCTTGCTGCTGGACTATTTACTAAGTAAGTTCGCTGAAATTTAAAAGAAGAACCAAGTATTAATAACATATTCTTCTAGGGATTTGGCTCGAGTTCATCGTGTTGTTGATCGATTACATGCAGGGAACGTCTACGTGAATACATTCAACGATGTCTGTAAGTTTTGTTGACTGCCCTTTAGTATTTAAAAAAGCCTAATTCAAGCGATCAGTGCTGTAGTCATTGATTCTTTAATTTGGCAGATCATATTGTTATCTATGCGTGCACCCAGCTGCGTCCACATACTTAAAATTCCGCATAGTAGTTTTAAATGTTGCACAAAATATATCACAGTTTTTTGAATAGTCAAATATTTGAAAAGAAGCATTTATTCGATTAATCAAACAGTCATTGTTGCGGAACATTCGACTTCGCATGTGAAATGAGATTGGAATAATGTCGATCGTTCGGATGTCCGCGAAATCATAGAATATATGTTCGATCGCCTGCGTATCATCGAATATTATTGAGACTGAATTTCTGTTTGAATATATTTGAACAATTCGATAATGCATATGAGTAGTCGAACATTCGAAAACAAGCACTTGCTGTATTATCCGAATATCGGAACATTATCGATTATGTCTAATTATTCGATGATTCGAATAGTCGAACATCACGTACCCTATTATGTGGTAATCGGATTCATATATTTTAGTTACGAGTCGGAAATTATTCACTCGTTGGGATATATTTTATATCAAACGAATATTCAATATTCGTTCATTCGAAAAAAAAATTAATGTTTACTGCTTGATCAAGCGTCAACTGGCTACAGCCCGCCTTGGTTTTACATTCTTATTACATATACTCTTCAATATAAACTTTATATATCAACTACTTTTTCCCAATTATTGTCATGATTTCAAAACATGCCGCAGAATAAATGAAATGCATATTATTTCAGCTCCATTTGTCCCGTTTGGCGGTTACGGCGACTCTGGCTTTGGACGCGAAAATGGTACCGCCGCCATCGAACACTACACCCAAATCAAATCTGTATTTGTTTCAACAGTCACAACTTTGCCAAATCCGTTTTAATTCCATGAAAGTCGGGTGCGCTAAGCGCACATCGCATAATAATCAGAGTAGTCCAGCTTATAATTAGGTTATGCCCATGCAATGTATCCGTCTTTAGCCTCATATATGTACAAATATTTATAAGAGCTTAACTTTCCCATTTAGGTTGTGTTCAAATTGTGCTATCTGTACATATGTTCTTTAACTTAAAAAAAAGATTTATCCATAATAAGGCAAATCTGCTATCAATCGATAAATCGATAAAACTTCATGAGAGTTCAACGGTTGGTAATACAAATTGTGGCAAGGAGATCAAGAAAGTATTTTCATATGCAGCTACTCTTATGTAA